CCCTCCTCCATCCCTCCTCCATCCCTCCTCCATCCCTCCTGCATCCCTCCTCCATCCCTCCTCCATCCCTCCTCCGTATCCTCCTCCATCCCTCCTCCATCCCTCCTCCATCCCTCCTCCATCCCTCCTCCATCCCTCCTCCATCGTCATTCCTCTCCCAGACCTGCTAGGCTTCCAGGACCTTGGGGGAAGAGTTTGGGTCAGGACAGTGCTCTCAGGCACACAGTGAAATTGAATTGTTGGTCTGTCCTGTGCAGGGCCAGGAGCTGGACTCGATGATCCTTGTGAGTCCCTCCCAACTCAGGATGCTCTGTGACTGAGTGTGTGGCTCTGTCTGTGCTGGAAAATGTTGCTCACAGGTGTGTGTAAAGGTCCTTGGCTGGATTTGAAGTTGAGTGTTGCCCATAATCCAGATACATGATCTCTTGCCCTTGGTAAGATGCAGCACCTGCCCTAACAAATCCATAAATACTTGGCTGCTGAGCCCTGTCCTCGAGTGACTGCAGCGTAGATGTGCACTTCGTAAGAACTCATTTGAAAGAGGTCTGCTCTAAACAGGTGAATGAGTTGGCTTGGATACCTTTGAAAAGAAAAATCCTCTTCTACCAGCACACTTTACAACTCTGACATAGTTTACAACAACATTGTCCTCTTGCAAATTCTGCTACGTGATTACAGTGTTGCGAGCTCCCATGATTTGCAAACTTTAGAGGAGACCTTGGAGGTAATTTAATCCATTCCTCTACCTGAAGGCAAGAGCAGCTTTGCCTAAGCATCATCCATGAAAGATGTGATAGGGAGAGTTATTTTTCTGCTCTTAATGGTTCCAAAGCCACTGACCATTGGAGCCACTTGTAGCTGCTGGTGCAGAGCCAGTCCTCCTGCAAATTTGAATTTTTGATGTTGAACTCTTTCAAAATGTACCTGTAAGTGCTATAGTTTTTACCCAGACATTTAAATATCACCCTGGGAAACTGAAGTCCTTTCCATGGAAATGGTGTATGGGAAAATAGGATGTCACTAAGTGAACAAGTTCCATTGGCAGTCCACAAAGTTACTATGTATACTGTGTAACACAGAGGATACAAAACAAAATACTCATTTTCCTCTGCGCTATTGTAAGGTCTAGGAGGAAGAAAAGCAAGTACTGGATATCTGAGAATAAGCAGCTTTATAAATCCAGTTCTATAAATATTGTGGCCATTGCAGGTATACCACTCTAGATTAATTCATTATTATTTGTAAATTCACACATTGTGGTAACTTGTAGTCATGGTTTCCAAACAGATGAGGAGTGTAAGGTAAAGGTCATGAAACAGGACCACTGATGGCCTGTGGGTATCTTCAGCACCTGAGCTTTCATTGTCTTCTCGTGGTCACAGACTCCACGCTCCCACTGATCCTGATGGGAATCGTTTGTGCACACTAAGTGAGGAATAAACCAGTAAATCACTCACTTGTCCATTAGAGACGCTCTCTGTAGATCTGTGGTGAGCAAGAGTCACAGCTGCCACTGTCTGAATGACCCTGATCTGTCTGCCATGGAAAGTACCTGCTTAGGGCTGTGGTAGCAAGAGCCTCTCATTGATCAAAGCAGGTTTCTCGAAGTTTGACTTTTCAAAAGTGTGTAAGTTCATCGCTGTGCATTTATCTTTCAGAAAAATTCCTAATCCAAGCTGTGGCTGATCAATGGTTGCATTAATTATGCACAAAGGGGTCAGTTCTACCAGCCTCGTTCCCTTTGAATGCTGCTTTACCCTGGGAGGAATTGACTTGCATTATGCAGGTTGGACAAATTCACCTCCAGTCTGAACTTCTGTAAAAGTCTCCAGGGAAGGTCAAGTTTCTGTTATTTTCAATAATAAATGAGATTCCCATTGAGTAAAATGATCCAGGAAATCATCTTCAGCTCTTGGAATTACAGTTTTGTGGTCTCTGATGGAGGGCTGGGAAGAACTGATGAGAGTTGGAAGAGAGATGAACAAATCTCTCCAAGCTGCAGGTTTTACAAGTCAAACCTAGTAGAAATGGCTCCCAGCACGAGTGTTAATAACTTTTTATTAATTTTGAAGGTTGTCTCAGAGTTGTGATTTTCGAATACACTTGTTTACAGTCTTACCCTATTTCAAGTAAAATTTTTATAGATGAAAGACAGCTACAACAATAAAGGAGAAGATGGTACTTGTGTAATAGACAACGATTTCTCACAGCTCACAGGAATGTCTTCCCTTCTGCATGTTTTTCTGCCAAATGGATGTTTGGAAGCGTTAATGATTGCGTTTTCCCCTTCAACTCTGGAAGTAGCCTAATTTGGCTGAATAGTCAGAGGGGAAAAAAGAAATAATTAATGTGATTCATTCATCTAGAAAGTGTAAAGCATAACTTAAATGGCAATAGTGGTAGAAAAAATGCCATAGTAAATGTTTCAAACTTCATATTTTCTGTTGAGGTATGAAGTGGTCTGAAATGAGTGAGTGGCAGTTCATCAAAAAGATGTGTGTTTTCTTCTAATACTGTTTTATTGGCCTTTCCCAGTTATTAATCTCAGAATTGCTAAAAATACATGGGATAATGGATGGTTGCTGTTCAGAGTTCTAATTTACTTTACTGCACAGTCACTGTGGGAAAGTGCTTTAGCTACTTTGGCTCTTTTGTATTGCCTCGAGAAAGAATTTTCCCCATGTGTTTTGCTCCAGAAGTCATCTGTTGTTTTTCAATGTATGCACATAAACAGCTCTTGCCATTACAGCTGAATATTGAGTCAGCAGTTCCCTCTGATGAAGCCATCACCAAGGCCTGTCACGTTTATCTGCACAGATCAGCATCACAGAGCACGTAATGCTATTAACTCCCAAACATTGTCTGCTCACCACAGAATTGTGGGACACGAGTGACCTTCTGCTTTTTCCTTCCTAATCGGCTCTGGGCTTGGGCTGCCAGCTTGGCTGTTCTGTGCCTCCATAACCCGTCTGAAAAATGGGCACACTTTTATCTTCCCACCTTGCTGGAGGCATTTTGAAGGCAAATGTACTGACAAATGAGACCTGCTCAGATTTTTCAATGTATGGTGGAAGATTGGGGTGTTTGTTTTATTTTTATTTCAAATATTTAAAGTGCCCCCAATGAGATTATGTCTCATTCATTGGACTTTGGTCACCCTCACCCTGCAGTGGCAGAGGTAGCAGGGATTTCTCTCTTTCTGCAACACATCCTTGACAGGATGAGAGAATATTTCTTTAAAAAATGGTGCTGGGAGATGGAACTGCTGGCTCTGTCCAGCCTTGTCAGCTCCACCAGTGCCATGGGCAGCAGGGACCACCTTGAATCAGCAGTGTCCTGAGTCAGAACCAAAAGACAATTTTACTTTTTTTTCCGTTTCTCCTTTTTTTTTTTTTAATTCACAAAACATTTATTGCCCTGAGGCTGTTATCCTGCAAAAGCTTGAGCATGTGTTTAACACCAATCATGAAAATTGGTCTTGAAGCAATTGGGATACTTGTGTGCTTTGAACTGAGCAGGTGATTTGCAGCAAGTCCCATTATCAGTTCTGTACCAGCATCTGTCTGGCAGAGTGGTTTCACCTGCATCACTCCTCTGAAGGACTCAACACAGCTGTCAAAGGATAAATGCTTCACACTTTGAAAATAAGTGCTGGAGTTTAGATTTAAACTTTTTTTTTTTTTTTTAATCTGTCATATGATATTCTTGTCCTGAAGAAAAGCAGTCTATCTCTGGTAATCACTCCACCGTCCTCTAAGTCAAATAACATCCAGATACTTCTGAGAGAATATCATCTCAGGGTTTTTCTAAAGCCTGGATCTGATTATGTGCTTCCAGGCATTCATTTTCCAGACATGTAGTGATCTAGGAGCATGAGAGATCAGATTTCTGGGAAGACTGTCTTCTCAACACCTCAGATCACAGCACCCTCCACCAACCGTGTCTAAGCCGAGGAGGTAATTGGGGTATTGAGGATTTCTTCCTTATCCTCTGTGCGATGCCAACACAACTGCAAGCTAAAACCTGGTGGTGTTT